ACTTAGGACCTTTAAGTGACTTGGCAAACATCTCAGAGATATTAAGAGGTGGAGCTCACATTTGGGTAGAAGGCTGCCTGATTCCAAAATCCCTTATGCAAGCCAGGACCAAAAAGAGGCTTCCAGAGACATCACTTCTAGTCTCAATCTACTTTATTGCAATCTCAGTTTTCTCAGTGATAAAATGGATATCATTATCTACTAGGGAAAAGGGGGAGATAATAATAGGGGTCCAATAAATCTATAGTGCATCTCCAATGCCATGAAGACAATCAAAGTGTTTTGGGAACTACCAGATGTTATATAAAAGCCATTACCCAGACTCATCAAGAAAAAAAGGGACAAGACTCAAATCAACAGAATTAGAAATGAAAAAGTAGAAGTAACAACTGACACTGCAGAAATAAAAAAGATCATGAGAGACTACTACAAGCAACTCTATGCCAATAAAATGGACAACCTGGAAGAAATGGACAAATTCTTAGAAATGCACAACCTGCCAAGACTGAATCAGGAAGAAATAGAAAATATGAACAGACCAATAACAAGCACTGAAATTGAAACTGTGATTAAAAATCTTCCAACAAACAAAAGCCCAGGACCAGACGGCTTCACAGACGAATTCTATCAAACATTTAGAGAAGAACTAACACCTATCCTTCTCAAACTCTTCCAAAATATAGCAGAGGGAGGAACACTCCCAAATTCCTTCTACGAGGCCACCATCACCCTGATACCAAAACCAGACAAAGATGTCACAAAGAAAGAAAACAACAGGCCAATATCACTGATGAACGTAGATGCAAAAATCCTCAACAAAATACTAGCAAACAGAATCCAACAGCACATTAAAAGGATCATACACCATGATCAAGTGGGGTTTATTCCAGGAATGCAAGGATTCTTCAATATACGCAAATCTATCAATGTGATAAACCATATTAACAAATTGAAGGAGAAAAACCATATGATCATCTCAATAGATGCAGAGAAAGCTTTTGACAAAATTCAACACACATTTATGATAAAAACCCTCCAGAGTGTAGGCATAGAGGGAACTTTCCTCAACATAATAAAGGCCATATATGACAAGCCCACAGCCAACATCATCCTCAATGGTGAAAAACTGAAAGCATTTCCACAGATCAGGAACAAGACAAGGTTGCCCACTCTCACCACTCTTATTCAACATAGTTTTGGAAGTTTTAGCCACAGCAATCAGAGAAGAAAAGGAAATAAAAGGAATCCAAATGGGAAAAGAAGAAGTAAAGCTGTCACTGTTTGCAGATGACATGATACTATACATAGAGAATCCTAAAGATGCTACCAGAAAACTACTAGAGCTAATCAATGAATTTGGTAAAGTAGCAGGTTACAAACTTAATGCACAGAAATCTCTGGCATTCCTATACACTAATGATGAAAAATCTGAAAGTGAAATCAAGAAAACACTCCCATTTACCACTGCAACAAAAAGAATAAAATATCTAGGAATAAACCTACCTGAGGAGACAAAAGACCTGTATGCAGAAAACTATAAGACACTGATGAAAGAAATTAAAGATGATACAAATAGATGGAAAGATATACCATGTTCTTGGATTGGAAGAATCAACATTGTGAAAATGACTCTACAACCCAAAGCAATCTATAGTTTCAATGCAATCCCTATCAAACTACCACTGGCATTTTTCACAGAACTAGAACAAAAAATTTCATAATTTGTATGGAAACACAAAAGACCCCGAATAGCCAAAGCAATCTTGAGAACGAAAAACAGAGCTGGAGGAATCAGGCTCCCTGACTTCAGACTATACTACAAAGCTACAGTAATCAAGACAGTATGGTACTGGCACAAAAACAGAAAGATAGATCAATGGAACAGGATAGAAAGCCCAGAGATAAACCCACATATGGTCACCTTATCTTTGATAAAGGAGGCAGGAATGTACAGTGGAGAAAGGACAACCTCTTCAATAAGTGGTGCTGAGAAAACTGGACATGTACATGTAAAAGTATGAGATTAGATCACTCCCTAACACCATACACAAAAATAAGCTCAAAATGGATTAAAGACCTAAATGTAAGGCCAGAAACTATCAAACTCTTAGAGGAAAACATAGGCAGAACACTCTATGACATAAATCACAGCAAGGTCCTTTTTGACCCACCTCCTAGAGAAATGGAAATAAAAACAAAAATAAACAAATGGGACCTAATGAAACTTCAAAGCTTTTGCACAGCAAAGGAAACCATAAACAAAACCAAAAGACAACCCTCAGAATGGGAGAAAATATTTGCAAATGAAGAAACTGACAAAGGAGTAACCTCCAAAATTTATAAGCAGCTCATGCAACTCAATAACAAAAAAACAAACAAGCCAATCCAAAAATGGGCAGAAGACCTAAATAGACATCTCTCCAAAGAAGATATACAGACTGCCAACAAACACATGAAAGAATGCTCAACATCATTCATCATTAGAGAAATGCAAATCAAAACTACAATGAGATATCATCTCACACCAGTCAGAATGGCCATCATCAAAAAATCTAGAAACAATAAATGCTAGAGAAGATGTGGAGAAAAGGGAACACTCTTGCACTGCTGGTGGGAATGTGAATTGGTTCAGCCACTATAGAGAACAGTATGGAGGTTCCTTAAAAAACTACAAATAGAACTACCATATGACCCAGCAATCCCACTACTGGGCATATACCCTGAGAAAACCAAAATTCAAAAAGAGTCATGTACCAAAATGTTCATTGCAGCTCTATTTACAATAGCCCGAAGATGGAAACAACCTAAGTGCCCATCATCGGATGAATGGATAAAGAAGATGTGGCACATATATAGAATGGAATATTACTCAGCCATAAAAAGAGACGAAATTGAGCTATTTGTAATGAGGTGGATAGACCTAGAGTCTGTCATACAGAGTGAAGTATGTCAGAAAGAGAAAGACAAATACCGTATGCTAACACATATATATGGAATTTAAGAAAAAAAATGTCATGAAGAACCTAGGGGTAAGACAGGAATAAAGACACAGACCTACTGGAGAATGGACTTGAGGATATGGGGAGGGGGAAGGATGAGCTGTGATAAAGTGAGAGAGAGGCATGGACATATATACACTAACAAACGTAAGGTAGATAGCTAGTGGGAAGCAGCCGCATAGCACAGGGAGATCAGCTCGGTGCTTTGTGACCGCCTGGAGGGGTGGGATAGGGAGGGTGGGAGGGAGGGAGACGCAAGAGGGAAGAGATATGGGAACATATGTATATGTATAACTGATTCACTTTGTTATAAAGCAGAAACTAACACACCATTGTAAAGCAATTATACCCCAATAAAGATGTTAAAAAAAACACAAAAAAACAATGTATTTTCAATCAGGTGTCTGATTTGTGCCTTAAAAATAATACCCTCTCCCCAAAATGATTCCTTAAAAATTCTCTTTTCTTTTTTTCTAAACTTAGTTGCCCTCTTTTGGAACTTGAGGCAAATTCCATTTTAAATGTTCATTTACATCATCCAATCCTCTCTCAAACAGGTTTTCATAAGGAGCTGGCAATATAAAGTAAGGTTCTACAGAGTTCTGCCACCAACTCACTGTGTGACTTTTGGCAAATTCCTTCCTCAGGACCCCCATTGGTAAAGGAGAGAGTGGGCCAGTTGAAGTTCAAGGTTATTCCAACCTTGAACATTACTAGGATAGAATGTAGCCCATGGCTGAGGTAATAGAAAGAAGATGAAAGGGGCTAAGTCATAATAAAACAAGATAATTACTCTGAAATATTTGTTTGAGTAAATTATGGGGCTCTTGACTATAAGGTGAGCCACCAACAGCTTCAACAATTTCAGCAGATATTTAAGATGCATTAGACACCATTGTATGAGCTAGTACTAAACAAGGTGATCAAAGCCAAGGTGGTTCTTGCACTCTGTGCAAGTTTACATCTAGACAGATCAAAAAGTGGGAGTCTGAAAAGTACGTTTCAGCCACAGACACATTTTGTTGGACCAACACAGTTTTTAACATTTTTAAAACTTGCCAATGTTTATAAATGATGCGAGATTTCACAGAAGTTCTCGTGTCTCGCTTCCCTTTTAAAATCTGAATATTTGGCAACGCAGAGCTGGTATTTCCACATTGCAGCGAAACGCTGGACTTGGATAGAAGCTGTTCCCACATCACTCCCAGACTAGACTTACACCCTCCGGTGTCTCCCCCCTCACCCTCGCCTCACCACTGCCCACCATCTCACACCCTGGCAATTTCAGTAAGAAACCTATATGCCAATTCTCTGATGGCTTAAGTGTGTGTGACTCTAGAGTTAGAGAGAAAACAGTAAGAAGTTATTTCAATCGTGTTGATTATTACAAAAGGGAAGTACAGGGAGCTGCCACGAGAGAGAACAAAGAAACTTCCAGTGGGATTGATGTTAAAAATGGGGGCTGGGAGCCAGGAGACCCGGGTCTAGAAAAGGTTCTCTCCATTAATTATGTTACACTGGACAAGTATTTTTCTTCTGTGTCTCAATTTCCCCAGCCGTAAAACGAGGAAATCTGCAAGGATCTATAAAATTCTCAACCCTCTCTTGGGTCTTCCTAACACCCCTAGGAAGTCTTAAAGGAAATCGTGCCTCTCCCCATCTGAGATCTGCAGGCTCCTATCCGCCACCTCCATATCCACCATCCTCGGCGGCGCTGCCCAGGTATCTTGAGTGGGAGATGGTAGGGGGTGGGGGAAGGGGTCACTTCAGGGGAACCGGGTCTCTGTCGGGGAAGTTGGGTCACGCTCTGCGTCTCTGCGGCTCCGGATCCTGCCAATGCGCCGCGGGACCCGCCGCCAGCTCGCAGCGCCGCCCTCCCGCCTCGCCCTCGCCCTGGCGGAACTCGGAGCCCTGGAGACTGCCCAGGCCGATCCCGCAGAGCACTGCGCCCGGGACCGCCCGCCGGCCGGCTGCTCCCCACCCCTGCCCCGACCCCGGAACCACCCCTCCCGGAGGAGCTGCGACCTCTGCCTACGCTCGGACCCCTCAGCAGCTGCAGGTGCCAGCCCGCCTCACCACGCCCCGCGCTGGCGGCCGCTGGAACGCCCAGGCAGGTATGTGCCTTCCCCTGCTTGCTCCTCGTTTCTCGGAGTTGATCTTTTAGCCTCTGCTCCCCGGGTAGAAGCACCAGTCTGAGCTTCTCGGAAGGCGTGAAGCGAGAGCCGAGATCTAGGTGAGTGATGGTCTAGATTTTTTCCTTTTAAGTAAACCTGCATACTAAGGGCACTGTTGGGAACCTAGGAAGTTAAAACGGAAGAGAAATATAAAGGCAGGCCGTCAGGATGACCCACTACAATCTGACAGGGCTGGGACCATTCCTAGCTTCTTAGCTATTTTGTACCCTACTTTGTCCCCCAGCCTCTGACTCGGGTCCAGATGCGGACAGACTTCAACAAATATTTGCTGGGTGGAGATAAGTACGGGAGGTATTTCTGCTTGTTTCTCTTATCCGGTCTCAAAACAAGCCAACACTGCCTTTGATGGTTGGCTTCATCTCCACCAGGATTTTTCCCCCCTAAGCTGAAGGATTTGAACGTTTTTACACAAAGTGCCGAGGATTCACACAATGGACTGCTATGCAGCGCTTAAAAAGCAGAAGTCAGAGCTGTAGAGATCAGCGTGGCTAGATCGCAAAAGTATAATGGTAATGATTACAGTCAGATGCAAAATATACCTACTATATGATGTCATTTAGGTGACTTACTTTAAAAGACATGTCGTGTGTGTAAAATCGTAGAAAGTGGACTGTAAAATGTATACCAGATTCACAATTGTGGCTGTTTTGGGGAAGTATGAAAGGGGAATTAATTTGGCATGAGGATTGAGGTGGAAAAGCTATTTACCTATGGTTTTAATATATAAAAATGATGAAGCAAAAGTTGATGAAATATAAACAATACTTAACTGCAAGTGGTTGTAACTTGGGTCTTTTTCAGGATATTTTCTTTCTCACATTTCTAAATTTGTCTCAGCTTAAGTAGTTCTGTTTTTCAAATGCAAACAAAATAAATTATGTCTATGCATATGCTGTGACAATAAAACTAGACAGTTCTGTCAGAAGTTACAACTTTCTTGCATCACATCATAGGTTCTTCCTGAAGAAGACACCTCTTTACCTAGGGAGGCTTAGCTGCTTGGAGCAGCTCACCTGTTGACATCCCCCAAAAGTATAGGCCAAAGGTCAAATGTCATCTGCAGTTAATAATCTGATAAGCGGCCAGGTCAAGGTAGAATCTGGAAACTCTTTGTGCTCCTATAAGACACATTGCTGTTTCTCTTATATGTTCTGTTTAGGATGTTCATTTCCATGGGTGGTGACTGTCTGCTTGACATCTCAAAAAGTGGTTATGTAACACTGCAGAGTTCATATCAGGTCAGGAAAGAGGCCTATAGCTCTGCTGGGCCCTATTCAGTGGAACGGAAAAGATGTGTCTCCAGTTGCCTGCCAGAAAAATGTTGATTTCTTTCTGGATATGAGGGAAAGCTACCAATTTGGTTATCCACGAAGGGAGAAAAAAATAAAGACCATTCTAGACTGGATTAAGAGTATTAAGTGCAGTGGAGAAACAACCACCCAATAGTCCAAGCCTGCTCATCCCCCAAACATACACAAAATTTGTTCCCTGTTTACATATTTTCTTCCCGCTAAAAAAAAAAATCACCGGATATTTGGTAAACAAAATTGTCTACACATCAGAATGCAACTCAGAAATACGGCAAATTGTGATAATATTCCTCTTTCTCTTTCTGACTTGACAACTTGCAAGGTCAGTGCTCGGTACATCTTGTGTTGCAGGAAGATGGGCTACTTGAGAAAATCCTGAGGTGTGAAGAAAAATCTAAGAAAGACAGGATTGGGGTGTGGTGTGAAAACTACATGTACCGAGGTTTTACGCACAAAATTAAAGAGAACATAGCCCCAGTCGGTAGTATTAACAACTGCAGCTGCTCCAAATTGATACTCTCTTTAGGACTGAGCCTCTCTAATGTCATCTGTGGCTCAGCCCTGACACTATTTCCCACTTATTCAGGACTCTAAATGCAGTAATACAACACACAGGGCACCCCATTTGCTTCTCCCTAGCCCACAAGGAAACACTAAGGGCATCCCACCTGCTTCTTCCTCATCCTCTTTTCCACTGGCATTAAAAGCCCTTTGTTTTTCGCCCAGAGATATACTTGAGTTCTTTCTATCTTCCTGATCTCCATCATCCCCTCTGAGCTTCCTCCAGACACCTGTTACCTCCTGCCCCTCTCTCCCTTCCCCCATACCATTTAATCACTTGCTTCCTAATTGCTGACTCTGTCTTTGCTCTCCATTTAATGATTCTTTTTAAAGTCCAGAAGGCACTTTGCCAGCAGTTGGCTTTCAGTATGACAAGCCGCATTTCCTTAATGAGTCTGCCTTCCAAATGAAGGCTTTACTTACATCTCCCCTAATAGGAAAAGGAGCTTTTCTTCTCGATTTGCTCCAGGGCTCCTCTAGTTCCTTTTCAATAACTCATCCTTAGCCCAGGTTCACGTGGGATACTTTTTTCAATTCTGACTCCAATCTGTATTTCCTTCACATGCAAAAACTCCAAGAGGAAATCAACAGGTGTCAAATTTAAAAGAAAATAATACGTGATAGGGAAATACCCACTACTAATAAAATAGCAATAGCTAATATTAATTCTTTGCAAATTATGTGCCAGGCGTGGTGCTAGCTGCCTCATACAGATTCTCATTAACTATATGCCATGAGCCGTATTTGTCCTGTACATGAGATTTGCTCAAGCCATATAGCTAAAACAAACTTTTTTTAAAATTAATTTTTATTGCAGTATAGTTGCTTTACATAAAACGAACTTTTAAATATAATTTTATATAACATCTGGATCTTGACCCTCTTTTGGGTAAATCTGAAGATCTGGCCCCTGGGCCCATGTTTCCACTTAGCAACAATCTTTTAGATCCAAGAGCAGTGACATCTTTTAGATGGAGCCTGGATTTACTAGGTCACCAGTGTCGCCAGCAGGCAGTAATGTCTTCCACCTGGTCCAGCTCAATTACTTGCATTTCCCTCTGGCTCTTGTGGGCATCTGAGCTTGTTATTCCTACAGAAGGTATTGCTGTTTCTCCCATTTAAGAGATGAGAGATTAGGTCATTGAGCCAAAGCCGTTATCAGTGTCAGTTTTAGAACCAGAACTCTGGATGCTGCCTCTCCTTACCAGTTTCCAAGAAAGTAATTTATGTTTAAAAATGAACAAAGCCATAAATACACAACTTTCAGGGCTTTTTAGCTCTCACCTATGTCGTTCAATTTGGGCTCCCTAGTGGCCTGCAATTATCAGGCACTTGTGCTGTGAAAAGACTTTACTTATCACATGAAATCACATTTAATTTGTCTTTGAGGTAAGGACCTTTATGATCTTCAAGTTCAGGGAAAGGAAAAAAAGTAATGTGTTCCAGACTTCTCCGTGGCGCAGTGGTTAAGAATCCGCCTGCCAGTGCAGGGGACACGGGTTCGAGCCCTGGTCTGGGCTCACATGCCGTGGAGCAACTAAGCCCGTGCGCCACGACTACTGAGCCTGCGCTCCAGAGCCTGCGAGCCACAACTATTGAGCCCACGTGCCACAACTACTGAAGCCCGTGTGCCTAGAGCCTGTGCTGTGCAACAAGAGAAGCCACCACAACGAGGAGCCTGCGCACCACAATGAAGAAAGCCCGAAGACCCAACACAGCCAAAAATAAATAAATATGTTTAAAAAAAAAAAAAGTAATGTGTTCCATGAAACTCAGCGACTTGCTGGTATGATCAAGCCCAAACTCAGAACTTGTTCCTTTGATGTTGTAGTAACTTCCAGGGTAGGAGGAAAGAGGGGTATGTCTTTTCATGACTAAAAAAATAAGTTGTTGATCACACATCAAAAAAATGTTTAAAATTAACATATTTTCTCAAAGACATGGAGAGTCACAATAAAATATATTTTAGTTTATAGTGGTTAAATAAAGTATTGCTGACCTCATTTTAAACTTGCCTTCACACTCAGAAAAATATTTTGCTTTCCTCCTTTCTTGTAAGTCCAGGTCCACTTCTGACGAGGCCATGTAGTGGGTACTCCCAGATGCTTGATTTTCTCTGTTTTCTCTGAAATTATTATTTTCAAGAACAAAAAAATTCCACTGCAGGGGCATAGATGAGGTTAATTTTCGGCCATCGTCTATAATCAGGGTACCTAGAGTACACCATATCATAAGGATACTGTTTCTTTTTCTCTCCTAGATATCTAGCTAAGGTTTCCGGTTCTCTTTTGAGTGAAGCTGAATGTTTCTGCTGGGATAATGTAACTGGAGGATCCGGGTCTGGGCAGACTTGACCATGGGAGCCAACACTTCAAGCAAACCACCGGTGTTTGATGAAAATGATGATGGTGAGAAACGTGCGATAATTGTATATAAACATAGTTTGCAAAATTCAAATATAAGCTCCTTGTTTCATAAGTAAACTGTCATGTAAGACCTTAAAATAAAAAAAAAAGAACTGCAAGGGTAAGCCTGAGGACCTGGTATGCTAAGAGCTGGATTTTTACCTTCCACTTTCCATGGGACCTTGGACAACTTTTTTTTTAACTAGAAAAGTGATATATTAGATTTAAAAAATTTTTTTTAAGTTTTTATTTTATATTGGAGTATAGTTGATTAACAGTGCTGTGATAAGTTTCAGGTGTACAGCAAAGTGATTCAGTTATACATATACATGTAGCTATTCTTTTTCAAATTCTTTTCCCATTTAGGTTGTTACATAATATTGAGCAGGGTTCCCTGTGCTATACAGTAGATCCTTGTTGGTTATCCATTTTAAATATAGCAGTGTGTACATGTCAATCCTACACTCCCTAACTATCCCTTTCCCCCGGTAACCATAAGTTCTTTCTCTACATCTATGAGTCTGTTTCTGTTTTGTAAATAAGTTCATTTGTATAATTTCTTTTTAGATTCCGCATATAAGTGATATCATACAGCTTTCTTAATCACAACTCTACCAATGCCCTTCGTCCAAAGGCATTGTCATCTGGTGGATAGAAGACCTTGAAACAAAATGATTTATTTGTTCCCTTGACAGCTGAAGTTACCCCTATTGCTAGTTGTTATAGAAAAATTCTTATATTATCAAGTTGCATATGAATGATAACTGATACTCATAATATTATACAGTGGAGTCAGGCAAGCAGGTTGGTGCCTTCTGAGCTTCTGATTAGCATGTTCCAGGGTCCTAGCCAAATTCCACAGTGCTGGGTCATAGGAAAAAGGATCAGTTTTATTGGAGAAAAGGGAAACTTTACAGCAGCCTTGTAGGCATATACTGTTTATAGGTTGCCTGGGAAAAAGGTGGCCCTAGGTCCTAGCTAGTAAGTTATCCAGGCCCCCCAGAGGCAGCCCTCACAGTCATTTCCAGGGAGTTCTGCTAAATGGACCACAGAGAAAAAGAACAATGAACTGAAATCCAGGAGATCTGAACGCTCGTCCTATTACCAGCTACCTGTGTGCTCAAGAAGTTTATTTACCTTCAGTTTCCTCATCAATCAAGTGAGAGAGGGCAGTAACCCTGAAGGTCTTTTTCAACTCCAAAAGTTTATCATTTTGAGATCCTAAAGGCACCTTGCAAAAATTAGGAAGCAGCATCTGAATCATCAAGGAAAGTTTGCTCAAACAGAAACTACAAATAACAGTGGCATAAAGAAGATGGTAGTGTTTTTCTTTCTCACGTAACAATCTAGGCATAAGTAATTCAGGTGAGATGTGGCTGCGAAGGGTTAGGGACTCTGGCTCTGACAAGCTGGCTTCTTTCCTTCCCTTCCCTGCCCTAGAGTGTTACTGTCACCCTCATGCCTTAGGATGGCTCACCACCACATCCACATTCCAGCCAGTGGGAAGGGGAAGAGTGGGGAGACCGAGCCCACTTCTTTTAAGGATATGATCTGCCTCTTGCTTGTCACTTTCACTCACATGCTTCATTACAAAGGAGACTGGGAAATGTAGTTAGTTATCTTGTGTGGCCATGAATCTTCTAAATACAAGGAGTTGTGTTTTGTTACAAAAGAAGGGGACAATTAGCTATTTGCCATGGCTGGGAGACAAACAGAAGTCTGCTGCAATCTTGATTTTTGAATCTTTGGTTGGACCCTTTAAAAAACATGTCTAACCAATCAACATGCCTTGTTGCCAGCCATTCACTATCAGTTTAGAGGTGCATCGTGACTACCTACACAAAATATTCTCATAGGAACCCTGAAATTATATAGTTTGAAAATGGTCTTAAGAAAACTTTTTCCCACTCATATCTGTTGCCTTGCTTTGCTTTATTAAGTTGTAAAGTCAAGGATCTAGAGGCCAGGGATGTTCCTTGATTTTTCCATCTCTAAAATGGGAAGGCAAGAAGGCTTACATTTCATTTGTTTGGTTCCCTGTGCTCCCTACAGATTCAAAACTAATGTGCATGAGGCTGGTCCTCATAGAACAGAGGAGGTAAGAGAGGCCAGCTTCGTGCTTGTTACTTGCTAGGGGTATGTATTGTTTTAAGGTATTAGGGTAACATGATAATGAGAAAATACAGAGATGTCTAAATCTTTAATCCAGCCAGCCCTTGGTCTCATGGAGTGCCCAAGAAAGCAACTGTCCCAAGGGATTATGGGAAATCAGGTAGCACTTTATAAGTACCTTCAAGGGGCTCTGCGAAAACTAGGTTGGAGTGAAGTTAGGCTTAATGAGCAAGGAGATCTTTCTTAACACCCTCTAGGTCACCACTTTTTGTGGTCCTGTCCGCCAGGCCAACGAGATGAGCCTACAGCAGCACCCTTAGAGAGAAGAGCTGAGCCTAAGAGTATGTCTGCACTTCCCAGGGGTGAAGCTCTGAGTCCGTTCACACACACAGTTGCAAGGCAGAAGTAGAAAGGCAACCCCGTCTACTATAAGCCCATCACTCTGCTAGATGTCCCTCCGCTAGATGTGAGGAACAGAGTAGGAGAGAAGATGGCCCTTCCCCTGCCCTTGTGGAGCTCGTATTCTAATCGTGGGAGGCAAACAATAAACTAGTTCACAAATACATAAACCAGATAACTTCAGATAGTGTTAAAGTACCACCAAGGCAGTGACTGTGAGTGATCTTATGGAGAGGGACAGGTGATGGTAAGGAGACCACTTCAGATAGGGTGTGGCCGGGGCTGGCCTTTCTGACGAGGTGACATCTGAGGTAAAGGCTGAAAAAGGTGAGGAAGCCACTCAGGTAATAACAGAAGAACAGTTCAGGCACAGGAAAAAGTCCAAATAATGACAAAATCGGAAATGACCAGTTGCCTATGTCTTCACATTCCGATGAGGATGAGTTTGTATATTATGAAAGCGATAGTTTTAAAATAAATTTATTTATCTATTTATTTATTTATGGCTGGATTGGGTCTTCTTTGCTGCGTGTGGGCTTTCTCTAGTTGTGGTGAGCAGGGGCTACTCTTCGTTGTGGTGCGCTGGCTTCTCATTGCGGTGGCCTCTCCCGTTGTGGAGCACAGGCTCCAGGCGCACGGGCTTCAGTAGTTGTGGCACGCAGGCTCAGCAGCTGTGGCTCACGGGCTCAGTAGTTGCGGCACACGGGCTCAGTAGTTGTGGCTCGCGGGCTCTAGAGCGCAGACTCAGTAGTTGTGGTGCACGGGCTTAGTTGCTCTGAGGCATGTGGGATCTTCCCGGACCAGGGGTCATACCCCAGTCCCCTGCAATGGCAGGTGGACTCCCAACCACTGCGCCACCAGGGAAGTCCTGAAAGGAATCGCATTTAATTGCCGTATTAACTTGTTTACAAGATCATTGAGTTTTGGGGAGGAAAAGTATGAAATTCCAGTTATTTACTTTTTTTAATCAGTAAATCCTATAAAGGTGATTTGGCTCCTTTCATAGGTCTGGATTGAGCACAAGGTGAAACTTTATTTGATTGCTGTGAGGCTTCTGACCAAGAAACAACAACAAAATCACTGACTAATCCAAGAACATAAATGCCTGTATCATTTTGATCTATTTTTATATAAATAATCAAATGGGGCCAGAATCTAGGGCACTTAAATGAACCAATTTAATTCTTTTTAACATATTGCTGAAAAGAATCCCAAAATGTGATGGAAAAGTATCTAATATTTCCTTCAAAGTGTTTACTATTCCCAATATATAGAATTGAGGAGAAAATGTGTACCCATTTTCCCAAGTAATATTTCAAGATTTCTTTCTCATGGAAAAAAAGTTTTGGTTCACTTTGAAGGTAATTAAGGAATAAGATGTTAGTGGATGTCCCTTGAGATAAGCTGTTCTTGCCGGAATTCATCCTGATACTTTGTGTTTCATGCGTTCCATCTGATACTGATCTTGAGATCATTCTGTTACTTACTTATGTTGATCTTTATTTAGTGAAAACAAAGTATAAGCTTTACAGCTGCTGTGGAAGAGCAGAAGGCTTGCTTGTTTAATTACTGTTAAGTGAGTTTTTACAAAGTAGACCTCACATGATATTATTCTTTTCTTTTGTGGCTGAGGGCAAACCCAAGTCCTAGTTACATTTTTTATTGTGGTATAATAAAGTGTACCATTTTAACGATTTTTAAGTGTACAGTTCAGTGGCATTGAGTATATTCACATTTGGGGACAACCATCACCACCACCATAGAACTTTCTAATCTTCCTAAACTGAAATTTTGTGCCCATTAAACAGTAACTCCCCATTCCCTCTTCCCCGCAGCCCCTGACAACCACCATTCTACTCTGTCTCTATGATTTTAACTATTCTAGGTACCTTATATAAGTGGAATCATGTAATATCTGTCCTTTTGGGTCTGGTTTATTTCAGTTATCAAGGTTCATCCACACTGTAGCATGTTTCAGAATTTCATTCCTTTTTAAGGCTGAATAATACTCTACTGTATGCAGATACCACATTTTGTTTATTCTTTCATTCATCAGTGAACATTAGGTTGTTTCTGCCTTTTGACTACCATAAATAATGCTGCTGTGAACACGGGTGTACAAGTATCTGTTCAAGTCCCTGTTTTCACCTGGTACATCCTTAAAAGCAGAATTGCTGGATCATTATGATAATTCTTCAATTTTTTAAGGAACCACCCAGCACAGTGTCTTCCACCTAATTATGTTTTGTGTTTTAGTAGTGGGAGACCACCTGACATGACAGGCCAGGGCTCTGGTAGTGGAAACACATACACAGTTTCAAATCTCAGCTGTGCCACAGCCTAGCAATCTGTGTATTTCTATGAGAAAAAGCAAAGGGGATATAGCCTGATCAACCATCAAACACTAGAGTCAACTTAACTATAAAGTGTTCTAAAGGGATTTGAAATACAATAGAAAAAAGTCCCCAAATCTGAATAATTACTAGTGAATT